TTACAATCGCCAAAGACTGCAAACTCGCCACACCAGGACGTGGAGCCCATAGATTCTCATCTGAGTGCAGATTTTTAAGGCCTTTCCAGGTGGAAGGGGTTAAGTGGTGTCCCTCACCCAAAATGTATCTGCCCTGGACCTCAGAACGTGACTTGCTTGGAACAAAGGTAAAGGCTGGAAGCATAGCTGAGGTCACGGCCACGCGGCTTGCTGAGCTCAGTGAGCAGGGTCTTGATGAGGGACAGGAAGAGGAGGCTGTGGCAGTGGACGTTTGACTGGACAGTGCGGGCACAGAGCATGGCTGCCCAGGGCTGCAGGAACCCACTCCCCCAAGCTGCCGGAGGATACACTTACAGGTCCTGCTCCACCTGGCCCCTGGGTCTTCAGGAGTGAGCTGGAGGAAGGCCACACCTCAGGTGAGTGTAGAACATGGAGCCTCTGAAGATGAGACCCACCAGGAAGCCAGGCGCTCGGGGCAGAGAAGGTTCCAGAATTCTGCACATGTCTGCAATCAGCGACCTGCAGTGCCCCAGGACCCACATCACAAAACCCGAGTCTGGGTCCCGCAGACTCTGCTGTTTCTAAAAGTTCCCCACATGCTCCTGATGTGTAGTCAGGAGTGTGAACACTGACTGGTGTGAGACACTGGGAAACAGCACTTGGCTGGGCCCATGAGGAGCGAGCGGCCCGGCGTGGGCTGCGGGGCCAGGCCGGCGCCTGACACTGCCCTGGAGGCACAGGCTGAACTGCCCGTCCCCGAAAACTCACATGTGGCCACCGGAAGCCTGGCACCCCAGGAAGTGAGGTTATTTGCAGTTAAGGTAAATGAGGGCATTGGAGAAGTTCCCTAACCAAGCGACTGCAGGAAACAGGAAGAGGGCACCCAGGAGGGACCACACTGACCTTGAGCTGGACCCTGCCGGGTAGGACTGAGATGTTTAAGCTCCAGGCCTGGGGCTGGCTGAGACAAACCAGACAGAGCGCTGGGTACTTCTCAGGGCCCAGGCCCTGGTCCTGTGACAATTCTGCACACTTTGCTGTTGCCGTTTCCTTTTGCACTGAAGAGAATGAAGCCTTTTAAACAGGAGCTCACCTGCCTGCCCAGTGCACACATCAGCTGATATTCAGGCCCGGCCGCTGCTGCAGGCACAGAGACGGGCAGAGGCCAGAGAGGAGGGAAGCTCCCAGAGGGGATAAAAGCCTTCAGCACTCACTCTTTCTCGCTGTGGGCCCAGACACACATTGGGAACGCTCTTACCTCGCCTGAGAGGTTTCCTTTTGAAGGCTGAGAGCCAGGCAGGTTTGTGGTGACATCACGGTCCCCGTGAGAGGACAGGCAAGGAGACCTCCAGAAGCTGGAAAGATGGCCAGTGGACAACGAACTTGCTGTCCAAGCACCAGGACCTGGGCTCAGACACCCGGAAGCCATGCAAGAATGTCAGCCACGACAGGGGCGTACCTGTAATCCCAGGACCTGGAGCTACCTGGCCAGTCAGTCTAATCGTGAGCTCCAGGGTCGGGGGAGCCAGGTCTCAGAAGAGAAGGTGACGTGTGACTGAGAAGCGCTGTCGGCATCTGGCCTCCACACACAAGTGCACATGTGTGCACACACGAACGTGCACACGTCCACAGCAAACACACCTGAGATTAAGAAGGGGGGTAGGCTGTAGAGAGGGCTCAGCAGCTAAGAATGCTCTTATTCTTGCAGAGGACCTGGGTTCAATTCCAGCACCCATCTGATAGCTCACAACCATCTACAACCTCATTTCCGAGGCTCTGCTGCCCTCTGCTGGCCTCCATGGGCACCAGGCAGTCACATGGGGCACAGACATGCATTCAGGTGAAACACTCACACATCAAACAACAAATCTGTGTGTGCGTGCGTGTGCGTGTGCGTGCGCGCGCGCCTGGGTATGAGAGAGAGGCTCAGTGACAGTGTGTTCTGTGAGAAGCTCAGGGTTTGTGCCCAACTCCACAAAAAGGCGGGGGAGGCGCGGTCACTCATTAACGGGTGGATTTGCTTTAGGGCCAGCGCTCCTCAGATTTTGTTGGAAATGAGCAGGTTTTAGCATTTTTACCCAAAGTACCTAATTTGATTTTCTGAGCACCACAGCCACAGGAGTGAAAAGCATCGAGTCTGCATTTGACAGAGACAGCCAGGCTCCAAAAGCCTCGGCTCTGCCCGCTCTGCTTCAGGTCGGTAAGCCGGGCTAACAGCTCTCACGTCTGGGGTGTCGACATAGCCCACTGCAGTGTCGCTGTAATGTGCCGAACTAGAAACGGGTAGGAAGCCACCAATGCGGGTGTCCCTAGTATGTGAGGACAAGGCAGAAGACGAGGCTCCCGTCCCCGTGCACAGCCCCGCCGAGCGCAGTGCGGCCGGTGGCAGGAGCTGCTGCTTCTCCTTCATTTAACCCAGGTGGTTGGCTACGTCTTTCAGAGCTACTTTAAGGAGAACTAGGAAAAGCCCCCTCATTTAGGAGGAATTTTCTTCAGCTGGGTAGCTGCTGATAGGCTGCCCCTGCTCCCAAAAACGAGCCCTCCTCTAGGGTCCTGTGGGAAACACTAGTGAAGCCCAACACGCCACCCAAACAAACAAGGAAAAGACATGAAGGTGGAAGGGGGTGGGTAGGGAAGAGGAGGGGTCAGGAGAAGCAAGAAAAGGTAACGTAAGCAAAATACGTTACGTACATGTATGAACGTGGCACATGAAACACAGTTATACGCAGGCAACGGTGCTAACGAGACAGTCTAACCCCCTCACTGAACAGAACCCCATGGACTCACCGGAAAGGGGTGAAGCCAGAGGAAGCGAGCCAGCCTTCTGCTTCCCGAGGCTCCCGAGGCTCCCGAGGCTCCTGAGCCTGTGTGGCAGCACAGGGGTGGACATGGAGTGTAAGCTGGGGCGTCGAGGCAGCAACCGGGGAGACCTGCAGAGAAGGCAGGGCCGGATGTAGGCGCAGGCGTGACAGTCACTGGACCTGACGGAGACGAGTCAAAAGACGGCGTGTCAAGGGATGGCGTGTCAAGGGATGGCGTGTCAAGGGATGGTGTGTCAAGGGGTTCGGCCAATGGCCCTTCCCCAGGGCTTGTCTGAAGGCGTGGTGCCTAGGCCGTGGGGCTGCTGGGAAGCTCCTGAAGGAAGCAGGTCCTGAGGAGGCAGGGGCCCTGGCCCATTGCACCTCTCTCCCCAGCTGCCCCGGCAACCTCGGCCACACACCATGCCGCCTTGTGCTGGCACAGGACGCACGTGACAGGCCAAGCAGCCGTGGACGACAAGCTCTTCATTAGCTGATGGTCCCAGACACGCTGCTGCCTGGGGAAGGCTGAGCAGCAGCAGGTGTGAGTGTCACTCTTCTGATACTGTGCAAACACCCTGAGGAACACGTGAGGAAGAAGGCCTCATTTTTGCTTCCGGAGGCAGAGTCCTGAGGTGGGCAAGGGAAGTCGGCAAGCAGGGAGCGAGCTGGTTGTCATTGTCATCCACACAGGGGGACAGGGGGTGGGGTGGCACTATAAACCATCAAAGCCTTTCCCCCCCTCCGAGTCCTTCAGAAGGCTCCCCCTCCTGGACAGTCTGCAACCTCCACAAACAGATCTCCATCGGGGTCTGAGTGTCCACACAGTGAGCGTGGTGGGGGACATTCAGATCACCAGAGAGCATGGGAGAGTGACCGAGTGTGCGCCGAGGAGCTGATGATCCAAACACTGTTCTTTTTTAATTAAATTTATTTTATTCATTTTACATCCCAATGGCGGCCCCTCCCCCCCTTCCCTCTCCCCTTCTCCTCAGATAAGGGAGCCCCCTCAACCCACCCCAGCACATCCTCTCCCACTGAGGCCAGACAAGGCAACCCAGCCAGGGGACAGGGATCCAAAAGCAGCAGCAGAGTCCAAATCAGAGGCAACCTGTGCTCCCCTTGCTGGGGAACCCTCATAAAGACCAAGCTGCCCATCTGCTGCATTGGGTCGGGGGCCTAGGTCCAGTCCACGCGTGCTCTTTGGTTGGTGCTTCAGCCTCTGTGAGCCCCCGTGGGCCCAGGTTAGCTGACACTGTTGGTCTTCTTGAGGAGCTCTTGTCCCACCCAGATCCCTCTATCCTTCCCCGACTCTTCCACAAGACTCCCCCAGTTCCGTCTAATGCTTGGCTGTGGGTCTCAGCATCTGCTTCGATCAGTGGCCAGGTGAAGCCTCTCAGAGGACAGGTTACATGGGGAGAGTGGGGTGGAAGGAGAGAGGGCAGGGAGAGAGAGAGGGGAAACCAAGGGGGGCATCCCTGGGGCAAGCTGGAGACCTGTGATGGGGTGGGCTCCTGGAGGGTAGACCAGGTGACCCTAGCTCAGACTCCCAGCTGCAGTCCTAGCATCGAGGGACGTGGAGACTGAAGTGGCCAAACACCGTTCTAACAGCCCACTGCTGAAATAATGCACAAACGCCCTGGGACACAGTAATCCATCCCTGAGGGTGAAGCCTTCCCAACAGAAGCATCTCCTAAGGACCATGGGCTATTGCCATGGCAACTGAACTTCAGTCTAATGTTGGGGCCGTGGAGGGGGAACAATGAGAGAGAGAGTGGCTGGACAGCTGTCTTTTGCAAAGATGCCCTGCTTCTGTATCCCCACGTGATCCAGGGAAAGCTCAAGATCTGACAGACCTACGGGGAGGTGGGGCCCACCTAGCAGGGGCGACAGGCTGCCTGCCTCCCCTTGCACACTCGGCCCTCCCACTGACCAGGAGAGAGCGCCGCATTCCCACGGGATGCAGAATGGCCTATGTGGAGAAGGAAGGCACCTCAGCCCCCTTGTCGCCCATTGCTGAGTGGCATGGGTGTGTCCAGCCACAGACGGCACAACCTGAATACGGCCCGACACTAATCCTGAAGTACTTAAGATGTGAGGTTTTTAGTTTGTGGGGTGAGGTTGGTTTGGGCTTTTTTGGGTTTTGGTTTTGGTTTTTGGTTTGGGTTTGTTTGTCTGTTTGTTTGTTTGTTTGTTTGTTTGTAATTGTTTCACAGGATGGGCTTCATAGATGACATTGTCAAACTGCAATATCGGAAGGCCGAGCACACCAGCTGGCCCTGGGGGAACCCTGCCAGCACCACTCTAGATGCTCTGCGTCCCAGGGCAGAAAAGCCCCAACCTGCGGAGATGCGCACAGAAATGGTAAGTACGGGGGTGTCTATCCCGGTTAAAAATGCATACAGAAATGGAGGAGGCCGGCCCTGGCGAATGCCACCCCACACAGACACAGCTTCGTCGCCAGTCATGCAGAGGCACGCCAACCACAGACAGCTGGTCTCAGGCTGCAAGGTCTGAAGCCACTGAGCTGTGAGGGAAGGAAGTGTCATGAAACAGTGTGAGGCCAGCTCTGCCCCACAGAGCCCAGAATGCCTCCACAGTTCCTCATTCTGGCTCCTGCACACCCCAAGGCCCCGGCCACATCCTGCTTCTCATTCAGAAAGCGGGTTGACCTCGGGCGCACACCCCAGTTCCCGAGGTTGTGTCTGCTCTTTTTCATGAATGGAATTGTTTGGTTGTTTGTTTCAGTTCCTCTTCAAGGTCACCAAGGACTCGAGTTCCGCTTTTGCTGGCATTAGGAGTGCGTCAGTTTGAGGGTGAGCAAATAAAAAGTGAAGACTAAGTGGGGGCTCCATGCTTCCCAGGCTGGGGTGGCCGTCTTAGGAAGTCACAGCTCAGCGTGGTTGTTTTGCTCTTCTGTATCTCTCCAGCTATCCCAGCGTGCCTCTCTGAGCAGGTGTGTGTCTGGCAGTGCATCAGAACAGCAGAGAGGTGGAAGGCAGGTAGCCTCCTTGCCTAAAGAAATTCATGAGGTTCATCCTTGGGACATGGAAGCAAGAGGGATACAAAGCCACCACCCAAGGCCACCAGAGCCACTGTAGGCCAGGCTGCTCTTCGTGTGACTCTTGAATCCCAATAGATTCAAGCTGGGGACACGGTTCGGTGTTTGGACCATTTGTGCACAAGCAACAGGCTTGACGACCAGGGTTTGGACCCCCGGAACCCACAGAAATGCCAGCTGGATATACTGGTCCCTGGAACTTGGGCACTCTGGAGGCTGACAGGAGACCCCCACAACAAGGGCGAGCTAGCGTAGCCATATTGGTGAGTTCTGCATTCATGCAAGACATCCTGCCTCAATGAGTAAGTGGAGAACAAGGGAGGGAAACTCCGTATCAGCCTCAGGCCTCCACATGCACACATGCACAGATAGAAACATGCGCACACATACGTGTGCGCACCATACATGCAGACTCAAGAAAGGAATCAAAGAAAAGAAGAAACTAGCCACACACAAGATAGATAGACAGGTAGGTAGGTAGACAGGTAGATAGACAGGTAGATAGATAGATAGATAGATAGATAGATAGATAGATAGATAGATAGGTAGGTAGGTAGGTAGGTAGGTAGATAGATAGATAGATAGATAGATAGATAGATAGATAGATAGGTAGATAGATAGATAGATGATAGATAGATAGATAGATAGATAGATAGATAGATAGATAGATAGATAGATAGGTAGGTAGATAGATAGATAGATAGATAGATAGATAGATAGATAGATAGACAGACAATGTCGTCTGATGACAAGAGGGTACCAATTTCTTCTTCCCCAGCTTAGCTATCAGCCAGATGCAGTCAGATCTCTGTGTTAATGACTTTTCTTGCTATCGTGATAAAATACCTGATAATGAAAGGGTTCATGACAGCTTGAGGCTGAAGAAGACAGTTCACCATGGCAAGAAAGAGGCAGCAGCAGGAGGGAGAAGGCTGCACGGTGTCCATGCGGGAAGCAGAGGGAAGCTTTCTGCCCCTGCTGTCTTATTGAGAGCCCTCCTCCAGCAGGCACTTTTCACTCTCACGGTCCTTCTGTTAACTCTCCCTGGAAAGGCCCTCACAGCTGTGCATCTCCTGGGTGACCCTAAACCTCCTGGGATTGAAGAGCTGGCTGTCCGGCATGAGCTACAGTCTATGCTCTTCCTCCTATTCCTGATCCAGTGTCTCTCACGCCCTCACCTCCCTGTGTGGCTGCCCAGCCCTGAGCTTACACCGGCCAACCTCTGGCAAGAAACACTTCCCTTTCCTATGGGCCTAAAACATGAAGGAAACGAGGGTTGTTTCCAGGCAGAGAAGGGGAGGGGATATCTGAGAGAAGACAGGCTGCCTGGGTGTAAGCGTGGTGCGTGTGTGTGTGTGTGTGTGTGTGTGTGTGTGTGTGTGTGGTGTATGTGTGTGTACATTCCTATGGGTGTATGTGGAAGCCAAGGCCTATGTCAGGAGTCTTCCTCGGTTGCTCTCTACCTCAGTTTTTGAGGCCGGGCTCTCACTGAACGGGAGTTCACCAGTTTGGCCAGCCAGCCTGGGCATGCTCCTGCCTCCTCCTGCCCATCACAGGGGCACACCACTGTCCCCGCCTTTATTCAGGAAGCGTCCCTGTGTGGCTTTGTCTTCTGGCAGAAGAGTTGGGCCCACCTTCGAGCTGGCCCTTCGGGCAGAAAGACCTGGTCCAATGTGAGAGCACTCGTGGCCCAAGCCACATGTCATCAGGGACTAGCCCTCACAGCTAGGACAGTTTCTCCCCGACCTTTCTCTTCCTTCGCCACCAAGCAGGAAGGTCTCAGCCCCAGTGTCCGGCGCTGTCCCCAACAGGAGCCGCAGGTGCCCTGAGTGTGCAACGTGTCGGTGAAAGAGTCACAGCTCGGCACGGGGCTGCACGCCTGCCATTCCAGCTAGAGGAGCAGGAAGTCACCGGCGTTCAGCAGTTCAAGGCCAGCCTGCGCAACATAGTGAAAAGCCCGTATATTTTGAGACAGAATCTATTTACCCCAGGCTGGCCTCAAATTCACTACATAGTCAAGTCTGGCCCTGAACTTGTGACCCCTCTGCCTCTGCCACCAAAGTGCTAGGCTGGTAGGCTCGCTCCGCCATGCCCATGTATGATCAAAGCTGGGACCTCATGCTGACCGGGCATGCGCCAGTCGGTGAAGCTGCACCCCGCCCGCTGGCTCTTAAAGGGGACATTTTTAACTTAAGGACACAGACTTAAAGCCAAGCCAGGTTGTTTGGTTTGGGGAGGTTTGCTGCCGCTACTGAGTTTCTTAGATTTTGAATTTAACCCTTTGTCTCCAGGGTAGCTTGCAAATGTTTGTCCTCTTCTCCCTCCGTGGACTGTTTCTCCACTGCCGTTTGCAACGACAAGAGAGACATTACATCGGGAAAAACCCGTAGAGCGGGAGACCAGCGCTGCCTGCCAGCACTCACATGTGGATCTAAAAAGGCTGGCCTTGGAGCCGGAGGGCAGTTGGCCGGGGCAGGGTGGCCAGTATGGGGCCTGGAGGCAGCCAGATGGGGCAAAGGTCTCGGCATGCGCTGTGCAGCAAAGCGACTCACGTCACGGAAGATGCATCTGGGGTGTGTGTGTGTGTAATGTTGTGTGTGCGGGTACTAACGCAGTCTCAGAAACACAGAAAAACAGTAACTGTGACCAGAGAAACAGTAACTGTGTCACTGCATTCGTTAGTGTGCTGGAAGCACCTGCCACTGCACACACACGTCAACAAGCCGCACTGCGGGAACCCTGAAAACGTAGAAGGGCCGCCTGACCCGGCCGCAGGAAGAAGGGAAGGTTAGCCAAGGGCCGCCGGGAAGCCTCGGCCGGTGAGAGCACGCGCCACACACAGGTGGGCCGGGGGAGCACACTTGACCCCCACTCACCCACCACGGCGCACACAACTCGCACGTGTACCCACGTACAACACACAATAATAACAAGTTTTAATTAAACCCAGGGAACAGGGAGAGAGTTCAGTGGTCGGAGTGCTGCCCTTGTAGCAGCTGTGAAGACTGAGTTCAAATCCCGCAACCACAGCAATGCTGGGTGTGGGTCAGGATTCTCTAGAGGAGCATACCTGATAGAGTGAATTTACGTGTACATGCATGTTATGGGACTTACATGTGTGGGATTGTATAGAAGGGTTTCTATCTGGGATGGGATGGATTTGTTAAAGGCTCTTGGGCCTGGCCCAGCTAGGCCACCGACGGCTGTCCATCTCGGGAACTCCAGGCAACCATCAGCTGTTCAGCCCAGGAGGCCGGGTGTCTCGGCTGGCCCTCGGTCCACGCCTGGATCCCGAAGTCAGCTGGAATGCCAGTTGAAGGCCGAGGCTTGCCAGGCAGAGCAGCAAGCTTCCTCCTTCCGTGTCCTGTAGACAGGCTCCCGCAGAGGTGTCAAAGGTGGGTCCTCCCACCCCAAATGGTCTAAGTAAGAAAAGTCTCCCACAGGTGTGCCCGGTGCTCGGGACGTAGCCTCACTGACGACCAGGACCAGCCATGAAGGCAGGTCCGCAGCCTCCTGCGGCTCCAGAGCAGGCTCCCGCAGAGAACAGCCACACCGCCGGGCTCGGGGTTGGGCTGAGAGGCCTGCCTTGATGGACGATGTGGAGAGCAAGGGAGGACGGCCCCTGACGTCGGCCTGGGGCCTCCGTATGCTGGCACGCACAGGTGCACACAGACACACACACATGCTCGTATTTATAGAGCACGCATACCACGCACGCAGGCATGCGCATGTGCATACAAAACACAGGACATATGCGCACACATGCACGTGAGCCTACCCCCCATGCAGACATGCCACACCCACGCACACCACACACACAGAAAAGGAAAGCTCCTTAGGAGTGGAGCATCTCCAAACAGCCGCTCCCCACAGGAGCCGGGAACAGCCCCGGGAGCGGCACGGTCCGGTGCTCACCCGCCTCTTCAGCTGGTCGTGGGCTGCAGTGAGGTCTCATGTTGGAGCGGCCGTGCCAACTACAGGCTCAGCATGCAGCCGGGGAAGTTAGCCCGAGCCAGCCCAGGAGGTGTCCCTGACTCCAGGATGCCCGCCGAGCCCTGCTCTCCGGCCTGAGAGCTGAAAAGGGCCTCTGCTCAGAGCCTTCTTCACACGAACCTGCTCTCGTGACCAATGGGGCAGCGTCCAGCGGGCTCCCCGAGGGTGGGCTCAGCTCAGGATCTGTGCTGTCCGTTCACAGCCTCACCTTGCTCAGTTGTTTGTCCTTGGCTTCTCGTGGGTTGGTGTTTTGTTTCATATTTTCATTTTAATTTGTTTCTGAGACAGGGCCTCACATACCCTGGGCTGACTTTAAAGCACTAGGTAGCCAGGGATGACTTTGAACTCCTGATCCTTCCAAGGCTAGGGCTGTGGGGAGCTCTGCCAGGCACAGAGCCTCGTTCTTTACCCTGTGACATGACGGTGTGCTGTGGTGAGAGCAGTGTGATACGGGAGGCGATACAGTGAGCTGGGCATCCTGTGGCACGGCACACGCTGGTGTGGTGTGGGGACAGATTCGGTGTGTTATGGTGTGGTGTGGGGACAGCTGTGGTGTGTTATGGTGTAGTGTGGGGACAGATTCGTTGTATTGTGGTGTGGTGTGGGGACAGATTCGTTGTATTGTGGCATGGTGTGGGGACAGCTGTGGTGTGTTGTGGTGTGGGGACAGCTGTGGTGTGTTGTGGTGTGGTGTGGGGACAGCTGTGGTGTGTTGTGGTGTGGTGTGGAGACAGCTGTGGTGTATTGTGGTGTGGGGACAGCTGTGGTGTGTTGTGGTGTGGTGTGGTTATAGCTATGGGGTGTTACGGTATGGTGTGGGACAGCTGTGGTATATTTTAATACTGTATACTAGTGTATCTGGAGATCCCTATTTCTCTGGTCTCAGAAGTCTTCAAATGTTTACACACGGTGGAGCCCTGCCACTCAGCGAGAGGCCAGCATCACACCCTCGGCTGCAGACAGGCCCTGGGCCTCCAGGGA